TCTCCTTTTTTGGTATTTTTATGCAAATTCTTCTGCTAGTTGGGGTTTAGTCCACTTTTGTATCCTTCCCTTCAAGGCTCATGGGTCCAAGATTATCTTCTGTGTCTGTGTTAATTGGTTTTCCTTTTCTTTGTTGAAGAGCGTCTGTGCAGTCCTTCTGCCTAGTCTGCCATCTTGCCGGAACTCAAGATTCATTTTGAAAACAAGCAAATTTAAACTATTTATAATAATTTTGATTGCTTATATGTTTTCTTTGTATCCAGCTTTCTTGTTGCACCCCTTACCCCATTTCTCTTTCTTTCCCTTTTGTCTCCTTTCTGTCTTATTTCTCCTTATACCTTTTCTCAATTTACTGCTCCCCAGATGTTTGCTCGTACTTCCTGTCCTGCTGGTAGGGACAGCCATTTATAGCAGGCTTCTTTCTCTCATTGCATTTAATGTCCTTTAAAAGGAGCTCTGGTGGCACAGTGCCTAAGGCATTTGACTGCTAACCAGAAGATTGGTGGTTTAAACCCATCAGCCACTCCATGGAAGGAAGATGGGGCAATCTACTTCTGTAATGATTTACTGTGTTGGAAACACAGTGGGAGTCCCTATGAGTCGAATCAACTCGATGGCAGTGAGTTTGGTTTTTGGTTTTATAGGATAAATGGAGTTGGTCCATGGGAACTAAGAACAGTATTGTGCTTGGCTGCTAACCCAAAGCTTGGAGGTTTGAGTCTACTCAGAGGGGCCTTGTAAGACAGCCCTGATGATTTACTTCCAAAAAATCAGTCATGGAAAACTCTGTGGAGCACAGTTCTAACCTGATACACATGGTGTCGCTGTGAGTCATAATCGACTCCATGTCAGCTGGTTATTGAATAGAGTAATGCCACCTAGCCACTGCCACAGCTTTCCTCTACATAAGGCTCACATCTCATTCTCAGTCATTGATTGCATTAGATCCAGTCCAGAAATGAGAAAACTCTTAGTAGAAATTTCTTAGTAAAGTTAATTTGTTTCTATGTGTGTTTTCTTAGGATGTGTGAGATCCCATCTTAACTTCCTTGTATATCATATTTGAGACCCATAGTATAGGATCAGTAAATGTGAAATCAATAAATGAAATTTTACCGGTTGGTCTCCCTTGTAACTCCTTTCCCCCTTTCAACATTTGAAATACATAGATTCTGCACTAGTATTACACAACGTTAAGTAAAACCAAATCACTTAGAAAGGAAATTGTTCCCTGTTTTTATTCTTTCAGTTCTGTTCTTTCTGATAATCATGGAGAAAACCACTGTGTGATCCTTTACCACTCTTAAATACTAGCTAATACTGTTCTCCTCTGTTTTTGTAAACAGTGAACTGGAGGCTCAAGCTCACTGTCTTGAAAGGCACCAGCATTTAACTAGAATTTAGTAAATTTTTTTGTTTCTTTTAATTGATTTTATGATTACCTTCTAGTTTGTCACATAGCTACAGATTTTCTACTCAAGGTAGTGATTACATTTACCCTAAAAATTTTTGTTTTAAAAAGATGAATCAATTTTAAAGAAAAAATATTAAATACAGGTAGGATAGAGGAGTATGACAAAATTGAAGAATGTGATATGTGTTAGAGGTTAGATAAGGCCATTGTGTAGACGGTGGTATGGAAATGAATAAAATTTGAGATGTACTTCTTCAGCATTTCTTAGACTTTTTGGTATCTCTGTTTCATCTGCAGAACTAACTTTGGTTTAGCAAGTGTCTGAAAGATCGATGTTTCAAACTCACCAGATGCTTTGAGAGAGAAATATGTGGAATTCTACTTCCATAGAGACTACAACCTAGGAAACACTATGAGGCAATTTTACTCTGTCCTGTAGAGTTGTTAATGAGTTGAAATTGACTGGACAGCTTTTGCTGGGAACTAGGTCCTGGGGATATGATGAAAAATACCGTGTTACCTTGTAGTCTAGATAGGTAAGAGGACAAGTGCATGCATGGCAACTGGTACAGACATTTCTGTGATAAATGCTGTCAGAGTGGCAAGGACATTGTGCTGCCAGAGAGGGGGGCGAAAAAAACAAAGCAAACTCATTGCTGTTGAGTCAGTTCTGACTCCTACAGGACTATAGGACAGAATAGAACTGCCCCATAGGGTTTCCAAGGCTGTAATCTTTATGAGAGCAGACTGCTACATCTTTCTCTTGTGGAGCAGCTAGTGAGTTCGAACCAGTGACCTTTTGGCTAGCACCTGAGTACTTTAACACTGTGCTCCCAGGGCTCCAAAAGAATATCTGTGTTAGAAGTGGGATTCGAACTCATACTTCCATTCAGAGACCAGAAGTCCTGGTTAGAGGAAGTGAAACTTGAGTCTGGTGCCTTGGACCACTTGGTCATCCTTGACAGAGGAAGCAGAGGTCATACTTGGCTGTGGGCTTGAGGCCTTGGCTCAAACTTATGTTTTAATCAAAGTGCCCTTCTCCTTTACACGTTGAGTCGCTTTTCCTAAATCCACATCACTTTTTGGGAGAAGAAACATTTCTTTGTAGGAATTACCATGTGAAAGATGGTCCAGAAGGAAGAATGTCATACTGGCACTCAGAAGACAGAGGTCTACCAGAGTCCAGTCCCAGCGTACCTGATTTTAGTTGGATAATGACTTAATTGTTTGCGTCCCAGTTTCTTCATCTTTGTTGATGATAATAAAACCTAGTGTTCGTCCTGCTTCCTAAGAAGTGAAAGCTGTTAGTGATATGTTTGTATAGCAGTATTGTCTTCACTTTATTACTAGTTTTGGAATACTGATGAGTAATGATTTTGAGAGTATTATAGGTGTTTAATTCTTTCCGTTCTCATCTTTCCCCTATTTTTTTTTTTCTAGGTCTTGATGCAGAACTTTATTATGTGAGAAACGATCTTATTAGTCATTACGCTCTATCCTTTAACCTGTTAGTACCCAGTGAGACAAATTTCCTGCACTTCACTTGGCATGCTAAGTCCAAGGTAAGAGAGTGGTTAAACACAGATGCCATGGTGGGATCACCCAGGCCCCAGAGTCTGGGAGCTGTATGTGAGGGGTGGGCTGCCATCTGTACAAAAGGGTCAGTGGGTGGTGGGCTGTAACAGTACTAGGTCTTTTCAAGTTTATATATTAAATATTTAGCCTATTCCTTTCCAATTTCTCAAACTATATAAAATGAAGGTGGCCATCATTTAAGTGATTTGTACATGACAAAACACTTAGATCCTTTCAGGCTTTTCACACAGGGATGCAGATCAAGTTTGAGAAGGAAACAGCCCCACTGTGATAATGACTATGCTGTTATGCTGACGAAATGATATGGGGGAGTATGATAGTGATACAGATGTTTTAAACATTGTTGTTATAATGTATATGTTGCTGCTGTTATGTGCCGAGTTTGATTGATCAGTCTCATAGCGACCCCTCCTTGGGTTTTGAGGTGGTATCACTACAGAAGTAGATTGCCCAACCTTCCTTCATAGGAGTGGCTGGTGGGTTTGACCCGCTAGCCTTCTGGTTAGCAGTCAAGTGCCTTAGGCAGTATGCTAACAGAGCTCCCATAATGTATATAGTTCTCCCATTTATGGAGAAACATGGAAATGTAGGTGCAGCATACACAGGCACCCCTACATACTATGGCTAAGCTCCTTTAACAGTAAGGGGCTTTGAAGACCAAATACTTAAGTACATTTTGCTTGCTTTACTTGCTGCTGATTTCTTCACATTTCCTCTGACTGCCTGAACTCCAAACATGATGAATTTTCTCACAGGACAAAGATTGAGAGGCGAAGCATAGGAAACCTCCCCTCCCCAACCAAATTCACTTCCTTTTATCAGCTTTAGGTTTCTGAGTAACATTTTATCTGGGAAAAAAAAATTAGTCTTACTTCTAAAAATAAGGTGGTTTATTTTTAACTATTGAAGATGGTTTTTTGCATTTTTTTTTCACTTTAAGTATTATAAAGTGGTGTCTGTCCAGTTATTTGTTTTATTACAAGTTGTTTAGATTTGACCACTTAAACAAAAACCTTATCTGTCTTTTTTCCTGCTTAGAAAATGATAGATTGGGAAAATTCAGACATTACAGAAATTTTTAATGGTTTTATAATACGATGTTGTATGGATTTATGATATATTGTTATTTACCAGTACCCCGTTGATAGACATGTGGATTTTTAATAGCGTTTTAATTATTTCAGAAAATGCTACCTTTCATTGATACACACAGGTTCCTTTACTTCATTTGGCAAGCAAAACCTATGGTAAGAGGGTGATAGTTCATGTTTTATTGCTGTTTCTACTTTGTTATTGATGAATATAAAGACAAAAAATATATACATGTGTATGTATATGTATCTCTGTGTGTGTGTTTATATGTGTATATATAGATATGTTGTTAGGTGCCATTGAATCATCTCCAACTCATAGCGACCTTATGTGCAGCAGAACGAAACAGTGCCCGGTGCTGTGCCAGCTCCACGATCCTTGCCATACCTGAGCCCATTGTGGTAGCCACTGTGTTAATCTATCTTGTTGAGGGCCTTCCCCCTCTTCTGTTGACCCTCCACTTTACCACGCATGATACTCTTCTCCAGAAAATGATCCCATCTTACAAGACCAATGTAGGTGAGACAAAGTCTGGCCATTTTTGCCTCTAGTGAACATTCCGGCTGCACTCCTTCCAGGAAAGATTTGTTAGTTCTTTTAGCAGTCCATGGTACTTTCAGTGTTCTTCCCCAGCACCACAACTCAAAAGCATTGACTCTTCTTTGATCTTTCTTATTCATTGTCCAGCTCTCACATGCATGAGGTGATTGAAAATACCATAGCTTGTGTCAGGCTCACTTTAGTCTTCAAGGAGATATCTTTGTTCTTCAGCACTCAAAAGAGGTCTTTTTCAGAATATTTGCCCAAAGCAGTACGTCATCTGATATTTTGACTGCTGCTTCCATTGGTATCGATTGTAGAACCAAGTAATATGAAGTCTTTGACAACTTCAGTCTTTTCACCATTCGTCATGATACTGCTTATAGGTCTAGTTGTGAGGATTTTTGTTTTCTTTATATTGAGTTGCACTCCATACTGCAGACTGTAGTCTTCAATCTTCATCAGTAAGTGTTTCAAGTCATCCTCACTTTCAGAGAGCAAAGTTGTATCGTCAGTGTATCACAGGTTGTTAATGAGTCTTCCTCCAATCCCAATGCCATGTTCTTCTTCATATAGTCCAACTTCTCTGGTTATTTGTTCAGCATACAAATGGAGTAAGTATGGTGAAAGGATACAACCTTGACACACTCCCTTCTTGACTTTAAATCATGGACTATCCCTTTGTTCTGTTCAAGTGACTGCCTACTGGTCTATGTACAGGTTCCTCATGAGCACAAATAATTGTTCTGGAATTCCCATTCTTTTCAATGTTATCCATAATTTGTTATGACCCACACAATCAAATGCTTTTGCATAGTCAATAAAACACAAATAAACATCTTTTTGGTATTCTTTGCTTTGAGCCAAGATCCATTTGACATCATCAGTGATATCCCTCATTCCACATCCTCTCCTGAATCCAGCTTGCATTTCTGCAAGCTCTCTGTCAATATACTGCTGTAACTGTTTTTGAATTATCTTCAGTAAGGTTTGACTTGCGTGCGACATAAATGATATTGTTCAATAATTTCACATTCTGTGGGATCACCTTTCTTTGGAATGGATACAAATATGGATCTCTTCCTGTCAGTGGCCAGGTAGCTGTCTGCCAAATCTCTTGGCATAGCCAAGTGGGTGTCTCCAGTGTGGCATCCGTTTGCTGAAACATCTCAATGGGTATTCTGTCAATTCCTGGAGCCTTGTTTTTCGCCACTTCCTTCGGTGCAGCTTCAGCTTCTTCCTTCAGCACCATTGGTTCTTGATCATGTGCCACCTCCTGAAATGGATGAACATCTACCAATTCTTTTTGGTATAGTGACTCTGTGTATTCCATCCATCTTCTTCTTCTTCTTTTTTTTTTTTTTATTAGGATTTGGGTGAAGATTTACAGAGTAAATTCACTTTTCATAC